CCGCTCCCGGCTGGCTTCGCAGGTCCGGGCTCTCCCCGGCTCGGTCGTGTCCCGTAACCCGGGATGATCGCCCCACCCCGAGACTCGGTGTTCCCGGGTTGAGCCGGCCCAGGGCAGGGCGAGAGCCGAGCGGCTGGCAGGTGGCTCCTCTAAGCGTCGCGGGTGCCTTGCTCCTTCCGCGCCTTGGCTTCTTCCCGGGGTAGGAGGCCCAGCTGTGTCCCCGAGGACTCGGCCTGGACGCATCGCCTTCCCTCTGGCCTCGGGATGAGGGAGGGAGATTCGGGCTCCACTGGAGGCTCCGTGACGGGGCCTCAGCGTCCTCTGGGTGGTTTCTGGGACCAGCAGCCTCCCTGGGTCCCTTCCCGAAGCTGCCTGGGCGTGTCTGGGGAGCCCCGAGAGTGTGCTGCTGGAGGCTGGCTGGCAGTGCTGGTCTCCTCTGAACCGAGTCACGCGTGCAGTGCCCTGGCCGGCGGCTGACACTTCCTCGCTCTGCCCAGGAGCAGGCCGGGCTTTTGCCATGGGGCACTGCCGCCTCTGCCATGGGAAGTTCTCCTCCAGGAGTCTGCGCAGCATCTCTGACGAGGCGCCCGGGGAGAGGTCATCCCCAGGGGAGCATGTCTTCATCAGGGACTTCCAGCGCCTGCTGGGGGTGGCAGTCTGCCAGGACCCAGCTTTGTCTCAGTTTGTCTGCAAGAGCTGCCACGCCCAATTCTACCAGTGCCACAGCCTCCTCAGGTCTTTCCTGCAGAGGGTCAACGTCGTCCCAACTGGACTTCTGAAGCCTTGTGCGAAGTAGGCACCCACCATTTGTCAGGGCATGTTCAGCGCCTCAACCCCCTGCGTGCTGGGTGCTGCGGGGGCCAGGGGATGTCTCAGGAGCCTGTGGGTAGGGTGAATAGGCTGTGCCCAACTCAGCGGGAGCCACCACCGGACTGTGGGGAGCAAGGAGGAACGGGGTGAGGGGCACCCCTTGGAAAAGGGATGGGGATCCCCAGGAAAGGGTTCTGACTGGAGATGGCTGGTGAGGCTCGTGACCTTGAGAGGCTCTGGGCAAGGACTGCTGTGAGCCAGGGCTGCTCCTGCTCATGGCTGCACTGATGCTTTGCAGGGTCGGTGCCCAGCCCCTTGCAGAGACCGAGGAGGGAGCATGTCTGGGTGAGTCTGCTCCTGGTGTGAGGGTGGGCTTGTGAGGTTGGGCCGGGGGCTGATAGGCCGTGGGGCTGATGTCTCTGTTGACTCTCCTCAGTGGAGCTGATCACTTCAAGCCCCCAGTGCCTGCATGGCTTGGTGGGGTGGGTGCACGGACACGCAGCCGGCTGCAGGGCCCTGCCCAGCCTGCAGAGGACACTGTCCTCCGAGTATTGTGGCATCATCCAGGCTGTGTGGGGCTGCGACCAGGGCCACGACTACACCATGGACGCCAGCTCCAGCTGCAGGGCCCTCTTACTGGACAGCGCAGTGGCCGTCAAGCGGGCCTGGGACAAGGAGACAGCACCATGGCTCACCCAGAACCAAGGGTCCAACCCCACTGGGGCTGCCTCTCAGATCTCCCAGGGCAGAGGAACAGGGACCGCAGTTGGGGCTGAGACCAAGACCCTGTCCAGCACTGATGTGGTCCAGTCTCCTCCAGATGGCAACGCTGTGGGGCCTGGGCCAGGCTCCCCACCACAGCCAAGTCTGCCCCTCAGCGGGGCTCCAGGTAGGAGGGACTTCTGGCCTGTGCTGGACCAGGTTTCTGTGTTCCTGAGCAGGCAGCGTTTATAGCAGAAAGGGCCATCTCCCCCATCTGGGTGGTGGTCAGGGTGTGGTGGGAAGCGAACTGGTGGACAGGACGTGGCAGCCGGGCTAAGGGCTTCCTCACAGGGTTCTGCAGCTGCCTGCCATATCAGGGAGGGCTGCCAGTCTCAGCTTCTTGGTCCACCAGCAGGCCCTTTCTCAGCAGTTCCTTTCTCAGCAGTTCCTCTAGAGACACGCTAGGGCATCTAGCATTTCTCTGACCTTGTTCTTGGGGCCAAGGGCTCTGGCTGTTCTTGTGGGCCGCGGCTGCGGGGACTGAGGGAGAGAGAATGGGGTCCTTGTTTTCTTGGATATGGGGGAAGAGAACAGCTGTTGCCTCTGCGGCGGCTGCTCTGGGCCAGCTGCATGTCATTCCTTGGTCCTCAGCCAGCAGCCCAGTGACACACTCATGTGGGCCAGTGTGGACAGGCCTCTTCTGCTGATAGGCCAAGGGGAAACACAGGGCCCTTGTTTGGGGCCCAGAGCCCACAGCACCATAGGTGGGTACAGTTGCTTGTGGATGTGGTGTTAGGAGGCCAGGGCCAGTGTCCTGTCCTTGTGTGAATGTACACTGTGCACATGGGCACTTGGCACCCCCTGGCAAGCCCTCAGTGGAACTTTATAAAAGCTTGGCTAGCTGGGTGCGATAGCTCAGCCTGTAATCCCAGCACTTTGGGAGGCAGAGGTGAGAGCTCAGGGGTTTGAGACCAGCCTGGGCAATGTGGTGAGACCTCGTGTCTACAATAAATCAAAAAATTAGCTGGGCGTGGTGGCACGCACCTGTAGTTCCAGCTACTTGGAAGGCTGAGGTGAAAGGATCCCCTGAGCCCGGCAGGTTGAGGCTGCAGTGGCTGTGAGCATGCTACTGCACTCCTGCCTGGGCAACAGAGCGGGACTCTGACTGAAAAACAAACAAAAACACAGCTATCCTGATGGCTCAGCCAGACGCAGTTGGACACGTGAGTCCATGCAGCTTGGGGACCTCAGTGTGAAACAGAATCACCAGTGTCACGTCTTGGAACTGCTTGGGTTTTTTATACTATGTGTGCAGTACTTTGAGAGCAATAGCTTTTTAAATGTCTCGACGTGTCCTTGGTGCTGCCTGTGCCTGTTCAGGACCTTGTGGGGGATGGGGTCCAGAGTTGGTTGGCATTTGAAGTTAAAAGGCCCCAGGCTCCCGGCAAAGAGGGCTCTTGTTAGGCAGGGTGGTGCCTCCTTGTAGGCGGGGACCTGCTCCTTACTCAGTGTGGTAACAGGAGCCTTGTTCTTTGTTTCTCAGGGCAGTTGGGTGAGAGGCAGTTTCCATCTTCACCCTCGGATGATCGGGTAAAAGACGAGTTCAGTGACCTTTCTGAGGGGTGAGAGAAGAGTGGGTTTAAACAGCCTAACGTTTCTCCTTCACAAACCAAACTCAGCCTTTCTAGGGGCCTGCTGCCCATGCTCTGTTGGGACGCTCCTCTACTTGGGGTGGGGAGTCTAGGGGGCTTCCGAGGCTGCTTATCCCTGTTGGGGGTTCCTGGGTGCTGGGGGGTAGCAGGCCTGAGGCAGAGCTACAGAGGAGCGTTGTGCTGCTTTACCTGGAGCAAGCGAAGGTCGTGTGGCCCCACCTGTCTGAGGCTGGGTGCTTGGCTGCTCCTCCTCTCGGGCCTTAGTTCTCAGCCAGCCCCAGGGTTCCTGTGCCCGAGGATTCTAGCGCTGTATCAGGATGTTGTCCCCTGAGGCAGAGGCTCCTGAGGAGGTGGTGTCCTGAGGAGGTGGTGGAGGATGGACCTGTCTTGGAGGGGACACCATTGGGGTCTCTGGGTTCCTTTATCCACCCCCACCTCTGAGCCGAGAGACAGCAAGGGTGGCTGTGTGCTGGACGGTATTCACACCCTGGCACCCTTGGCCACAATGCAGATACACCTCGTCCTGAGGAGGACAGCCCAGTTTTTGGTGAACTGCAGCAGGGTGCCCAGGCATGAAATAGCTCAGGTGCCCAGGGACACCAGGTGTGGTCTGAGGCTGTCTGGGACAGCGGAAGACTAAATAGAGGCTTATGTTTTAGGGTAAAGGTCACGGGTGTCTTTTTTTTTTGCCTTTACGAACTCTCAAGTGGCTGATCCGCTGTCAGCTGCACAGGTGCTCACAGTTGGAGGGGCGAGGTGGGCGCTTCTCAGAGACTGCTCACAGGAGTCCCACCTGTGAGCATCTCCACACCCTTCTGCCCTATGGAAGAGCTCTATGGGAGGACATGGCCTGTGGGCACTGTAGCTGTGAGCCTGGCTTGCCCTTTCTGTGAGGAAGGGGAATTGGAGGCTTCTTGAGACATTTTTGGGAGAATCAACACATGGGACGTGGACACCTGTTTGTGTCTCTAGATAGGAAGTTGTGTCAGCTGTCGCCTGCCCAGCCCCAGGCTTTGCTGAAGGTTTCTTCTTGATTCCTAGAGACTTCCTGAGTGAAGATGAAAACGACAAGAAGCATAATGCCCAGTCTTCAGACGAGTCCTTTGAGCCTTACCCAGAAAGGAAGTAAGTGTTCAGCCTGGCTGCGAGTGCCTAGGTCTGGCAGAGACATACCTGGGTGACATGGACCCCTGCATCTGTGCCAGGACCCAGAGGCCAAGCTCACAGCCCCTGCTCTGCCTCCCTCAGCTAACTGATTCACATCAGGCCTGGTCTGGCCCAGTGAAATGTGGCTTCTGAGCCTAAGCCAGGGGACCAGTTGAGGGGGGCTGAGGGCCAGATGAGAAGGGGTTCCTCTCAGTTGCCCGTCATGCCTTTTCCTGGAGACCAGTCGAGGGGCCAGGGGCCAGATGAGAAGAGGGTCCTCTTGGCTGCATGTCATGTCTCTTCCTGGTGGTGTGGAACTGGGACCTGGTCTGGGTGCTGTAAGGTGGCTAACAGGCTGGGGGTGGGTACCCCCAAAGCTGGGAATTTATTTATAAAAATTATGGACTTATTCTTACACGTTTAAACTTAAGTCACCTTCAAAGGACTCTCCACCTGATGCAACACATCTATTGAGACACCTTTTCCACTGCTCAAAACAGTGTTTTAACTTAACAGTTTTGGTGCCTGGGACATCACGGCAGACAGCATGGGTGTCAGGGAGCCCTATTGACAAGCCCCAGCCTTGTTCCAGGGAGTTCCTCACTGGTTCCTTCCACCAGTCTGCTCCTGGCTCACATCATGTGGTGTCCTCCTGGAAAACCTTCCCTATGCTGTTTCTCCTTCCTGGGCCACATGTCCTCGGAGGCCCAGGGACAGAGTCCTGTTCTCTCCCTCAACTTGGAGTTGGGCACTGACTTCCATGGCTGGGCAGCCATGGTCCACTTCCTTTCTGTGTCAATTCTAAGACCTTGCTTTGACCTTCCTCTTTTAGGGATTTGTTTTCTCTCCTCAGAATGTTGGGTCCTGGCAGGAGGGCTGGTTTTGACTTGTTTTACTCTGCTTGCAGCCCTGTGCCTAGGAATACCCAAAACATGATGACCGATTTGGTCATTGTCCTTGAGCATTTCACAATCCAGAACGAAAACCCAAAGAGTAAGCAGCTCTGAGCCTCACAGGAAGAAAATCCTGCAAGGGCTGAGAAGTAAACTTGACTTCCTTTTTTCGTTTAAGTTCTGAAAAGAGAAGCAGGAGGAGGAGAGCAGGAGACATGGGAATAGATCAAAATCAGAATGCAGGGCTGAGCCAGAAGTGCTCCAGCAAGCCTCAGGGTGGACAGCATGCTGACCCGGGGCCAAGAGGGAATTGTCAGGAGTCCCTGCCTTCAGATCTGTTCCCAGGAACCATGGCTGGGGGGAGCCCCACTCCCTGTGAAGTGACCTTCCCAGGCTGAGTTTGAATCCCAGGTCACAGCCCAGAGTTCGCATCTCTCTGTCTCACTGCCCAGAAGGTCTGGGGTCGCTGGTGTGGGGAATGCTGGGGACCGGGATAGGAGGGGACAGGTGGGCCCTTTCTCCAGATAGAGGCAGGCTCAGAGGACGATGGGACAGCACACTTGTAGTGCATCACTGGTCCCTTTGGGACCCCAGGAATCAAACAAATATGTACTTTGGAACAGGGATATGTGAGATACAAGGGGGGAACCCAAAAACCCTAGAATTTGTTTATAAAAATCGTGCATTCTTGCATGTTTAAACTTCAGTCACCTTCAAAAGATTCTCCTTCTGATGTAATACACCTATCGAGACACCTTTTCCACTGTTTAGAACAGTGTTCTAACTCATCAATTTTGATGTCTTTTAGTGCTTCTGCCATTTTTTGTTTCACCTCTTCCACATTAGCAAAATGTTTCCCTTTGAGGACTTTTTTCATCTGGGAAACAAAGAAAAAGTCCCTTGGGGCAAGATAGGTGACTAGGGAGGGTGGGGCTTGGAGGTGGGCCCAAATAATTTTTTTTTTTTGAGTGGGAGTCTCACTCTGTCGCCTAGACTGGAGTGCAGTGGCCGTTCCTGGCCACCGCGCCTCGACCTGCTGGGCTCCAGCAATCCTTCCGCCTCAGCCTTCTGAGTAGCCGGAATTACAGTTGCGTGCTACCACGCCCGACTGATTTTTGATGTATTGTAGAGATGAGGTCTCGCCAATTTGCCCAGGTGGGTCTCGAACCCGCAGGCTCAGGCAATCCACTCACCTCAGCCTCCCAAAGGCACGGGATTACAGGCGGAGCCACCGAGCCCGGCTTCCAAATAATTTTTTATAGAGAAGGCTGGTCGTGAACTCGTGGGTTTAAGTGATCCTCCTGCCTCGGCCTCCTAAAGCACTGTGACTATGAATGTGAGACACTGTGCCTGGTCCCTTTCCTCATTTTTTTTTTTGAGTTGGAGTCTCAATATGTCGCCCAGGCTGGAGTGCAGTGCCACTCTCACAGCCACCCCAACATCGACCTGCTGGGCTCCAGCGATCCTTCTGCCTCAGCCTTCCAAGTAGCTGGAACTACAGGTGTGCACTACCATACTCAGCTAACTTTTTTTTAATTGTAGAAACAAAGTCTCGTCAAGTTGCCTGGGCTGGTCTTGAACCCGTGGGCTCTAGCAATCCACTCACCTTAGCCTCCCAAAATGCTGGGATTACAGGCTGAGCCACTGAACCTGTCTTTGCTCTTTTTTTTTTTTTTTTGAGAAATCAGGATTTGACAGGATAGAAAAGCTCCCACAGTGGGAGGGGACCCGAAGGGGTTGCCTTGCTCATTTAATTGGGTTGGCTTTATGCTCTTATAGGAGTTCTGTATGTGTTCTGGATATTACGCCCTGATAGCTGTGGTATATGACTTACAGGTATTTTCTCGAATTCTGTGGGTGTCTTTACACTCTCTTGATTGTGTCCTTAGATGCACATATCTTTAAATTTTGATAAAATTCATTTACCAATTTTTACTTTTGTTATCTGAGCTTTTGGTGTCATATTTAAGGAACTATTTCTAAACTCACAGTCATGACCATTTGCCCATTTTGTGTGTGTGGTTTTTTTTTTTTGAATCAGGGTCTCACTCTGTTGCCCAGGCTGGAGTACAGTGGCATGATCATGGCTCACCGCGGCCTTGAACTCCTTGAACTCACTCCTTCTGTCTCAGCCTTCCAAGTAGCTGAGACTATAAGCATGTACTACTATGCCCAGCTAAATTTTTATAATTTTTTTGTAGACATGCCCAGATAAATTTTATGTTTTATAGTGATGGCATCTCATTACGTTATCCGGGGTGGTCTTAAGTGATCCTCCTGCCTTCGCCTCCCAAAGCACTATGAATGAGCCACTGTATCTGGCCTGTCCCTGCTTTCTTTCTTTTTTTTTTTTTGAGTTGAAGTTTCACGCTAGTCATCCAGACTGGAGTGCAGCGGCATGCTCTCGGCCATCGCAGCCTTGATCTTCTGGGTTTAGGTGATCCTTCCACTTCAGCCTTCTAAGTACAGGCCACCATGCCTGTCTAGTTTTTTTGTGACTTATTGTAGAGACGAGGTCTCACCAAGTTGCCCAGGCTGGTCTGTCCCTGCTTTCTTCTAAGAGTTTTATAATTTTAGCTTTTAGATTTAGGTCATGGTCCATTTGTGTTCATTTTTGTCTGCTGTGAGATAGGGTCCAACTTCATTCTTTTGCATGTGTATACCCAGGTGTCCCAGTACCATTTGTGGAAGAGAACATTTTGCCCCATTGAATGGTCTTTGCACCCTTGTTGAAAATCAGTAGGTCATACGTGAGAGTTAGTGGTCTCAGTTCTGTTTGATTTGTCTGTATGTCTATCCTTATGCCAGTGACACAGTTTTGATTAGTGTAGCTTTGTAGTTAGTTTGGGAAACAGAAAGTTTGAGTCTTCCAACATTGTTTTTCAGATTTGTCTTGACTATTCAGTGTGCCTTGAAATTCTATGTTAAATTTAGGATGGGAAGGCTGGGTACGTGGCCTTCACCTGTAATTCTAGCACTTTGGGGAGGCCAAGGGGGGAGGATTGCTTGAATCTAGGAGTTCCAGAGCAGCCTAGGCAACATAGTGACACCTCATCTCTACAAAAAAAAATTTTTTTTTTTTGAGTTGGAGTCTCTCTCTTGTCGCCCAGGCTGGAGTGCTGCGGCACACTCATGGCCACTGCGGCTTCCACCTGGTGGTCTTAGGTGATCCTTCCCCCTCAGCCTTCCAAGTAGCTGGAACTGCAGACGCATGCTACCACATATGGCTAGTTTCTGTGATTTATTGTAGAGATGAGGTCTCACCAAGTTGCCCAGGCTGGTCTCGAACTTGCAGGTTCAGGCAATCCTCTCACCTTGGCCTCCCAAAGTGCTGGGCTTATAGGCTGAGCCACCACGCCTGGCCAAAAAATTTTTTTAATTTTTAGTAGCTGTAATCTCAGCCACACAGGAGGCTAAGACAGAAGGATTGCCTGAGCCCAGGATGTTGAGGCTGCAGTGATTGTGCCACTGTATTCCATCCTGGGCAAAACTCCAAGACACACACACACACACAAAATGGGTTTTTTCACCTCTACCAAAAAGAAAAAAAAAAAGCAAAAACAAAACTCTGACTGGGGGCTGGGATTTTGACAGGGATGGGGATGAATCTGTAGAAGTATTGTCATCTTAACAATACTAGTTCTTATTAATGGATTGTAGAAACATTCTAAATATAAATGGGGTATCTTTCCATTGTGCCTATTTTTGGGGGGCAATGTTCTGTAGATTTCAGTGTACAAGTCTTCTATCTTGGTTAAATTTATTCCTTAGTATAAATTATTCTTTTTGATGGCATTATAAAGGAGTTTTTGTTTTGTTGGAGTCTCACTTTGTTGCCCAGGCTGGGGTACAGTGGCACACTCACGGCCACCCCAGTGTTGACATGTTAGGCTTAGGCGATCCTTCCACCTCAGCCTTCCAAGTAGCTGAACTGCAGGCGTGCACTACCACACCCAGCTCATTTTTTTATTTATTGTAGAGATGAGGTCTTGCCAAGTTGCCCAGGAGTTCTCGAACCCGTGGGCTCAGGCGATCCCCTCACCTTGGCCTCCCAAAGTGCTGGGATTACAGACGTGAGTCACCGTGCCCAGCCTATTCTCTATTTCCTTTTTGAATTGTTCATCAGTAGTATTTAGAAATATAACTGAGACCGGGCTTGGTGGCTCAGCCTGTAATCCCAACATTTTGGGAGGCCAAGGCGAGTGGATTGTCTGAGCCCACAGGTTCGAGACCAACCCAGGCAGCCTGGCGAGACCTTGCCTCTACAATAAAATAATAAATACCCGGGCGTGGTAGTGCGCATCTGTAATTCTGGCTACTCGGAAGGCTGAGGCGGGAGGATCACTGGAACTCAGAAGGTCGACACTGGGATGGCCATGTGCGTGCGTGCCACTGCACTCCAGCCTGGGCAAAGAAGTGAGACTCCAACTCATAAATAAGAAAATAATTGGCTTTTTAATATGGATTTTGTACCCTGCAACTTTGCTGAGATCATTTTGTGTTTGTGTCCTTGTGGTTTTCTATTGTAAGACTATGTCATCTGTAAATAGAGATTATTTTTTTCCTTTTTTTCTTTTGAGTCAGTGTCTCACTCTGTCGCCCAGACAGGAGTGCAGTGCCACGCTCATGGCCACTGTAGTCTTAACCTGCTGGGCTCAGGCGATCCTTCTACCTCATCCTTCCAAGTAGCTGGAACTACAGGCAGGTGCTACCACATGTGGCTAATTTTTTTTTTTTTTTTTTGAGTTGGAGTCTCACTCTGTCACCCAGACTGGAGTGCAGTGGCCGCTCCCGGCCACCGCAGCCTCGCCTGCTGGGCTCCGGCAATCCTTCCGCCTCAGCCTTCCAAGTAGTCGGAATTACAGGCATGCGCTACCACGCCCGGCTGGTTTTTTGATTTATTGTAGAGATGAGGTCTCGCCTGCCCAGGCGGGTCTCGAACCCGCAGGCTCAGGCAATCCACTCACCTCAGCCTCCCAAAGGGGCGGGATTACAGGCTGAGCCACTGAGCCCAGCCTGGCTAATTTTTTGATTTGTTGTAGAGATGAGGTCTCGCCAAGTTGTCCAGGCTGGTCTCGAACCCCTGGGTTTAGGCAATCCTCTCACCTTGGCCTCCCAAAGTGTTGGGATTACAGGCTTGAGCCACTGCGCTCAGGCAGAGATCATTTTTCTTTCCCAATTTTTCCTTTTCTTGCCCATTTGGATTTGGGTGGGGCCTCCAGTTCCATGCTAACGGTGGTGAGGGTGGACACCTGTGTCTTATTTTTGGTCTTAGAGGAAGAGCTTTCAGTCTTCCACCCCCAAGTGTGATGTCTGCTGTTGGGTTTTCACATAGGGACTTTAACATGGTAAGGAAGTTGCCTTCTATTCCCAACAGAGATTTCCTGAAATGTCTGGATCCAAAAAGGAAGCAAGTCTCTGTCTCTGAGTCTTCTGATGGACACGGGGGTCTGCTGCATCTGTGCTGGTCCCTTAGCCTGATGGACCAGCTGTATTGTACCGTCCCCAGGTTTTGGGGGACAGGGTCCCCACTGCCCTGGCCCCAGCAGCTGCTCTAAGAACACAGGTGGGTCTCGCTGCAGCCAAGGCGCTTCTCAAGCTCTGCCTGGTTGTTGTGAGTCCCATGATAGTGGATTCTGAGCTTTTTCTGTCATGAGGTTTTGGTGAAGGATTTGGCCCCTACATGTCCCGATTGTACCATCTTCTGTGATGTCTCCAGTTTTCGCTTTTGACGCTTAGGATGGAAGGAAAGCTTCATTCAGAGAACCCACCCCGTGACCAGTGTGGGTCATGCTCTGCCCTCCTCCCTGGGCTGTGTCCCTTCCTGATGTGTCAGGTCCCAGGCCTCTTCCCAGATTTGTGGCTTTGGTGGCTGTGGGTAGATTTGAGGGCCAGCCAGTGAATGCAGAAGCAGCTCGGTCATGGTAACTTGAGAAAAACCATGTCTTTCATGTTTGAAGAGAGACAAGAAGTATTTGCGGTAGCGATCAGAAACATCACTGAGTCCCAGCATATCTTTATTTTCAGAGTCTCTGGTAAGAAGAGTGAAAGCAAAGAAGCCAAGAAATCTGAAGAACCAAAAATTCGGAAGAAACCTGGGCCCAAACCCGGATGGAAGAAAAAGATCCGTTGTGAGAGGTGAGAGGGCTGGAGTGTGGGGCCTCCCTGCCCGTTGGGGCCGAGCCTCCACATGTGCTCTGCATTGCAGGGAGGAGCTTCCCACCATCTACAAGTGTCCTTACCAGGGCTGCACAGCCGTGTACCGAGGGGCTGATGGCATGAAGGTGAGGAGCAGGTGCACCTGACTGAGGCGTGACAGGTGTCAGTGTGAACCAGGGGGAGGCATCAGGGGGCTTCTGCAGAGCCGGGCAGACTTGTGTGACCTAGGCTAGTGGAGACTTGAGGCTGGGGGAAGCTAGAGGACGAGGCTCCCACTGTAGATGCCCCATGGGTCCACAGGTGTCCTGGAGTAAAGCTGTGAAGGAGCCAGTGGAATGAGGAATAGCCAGATCTGTCTTCCTGCCAGAGGGTCAGCCCTCCCTGCTGAGGGCATCAAGGGGATACATGGGAGGTGGAATGCTCTGCTTGGCCCAGTGGCCCTTTGTCCTGGAGGGCCACTGAGTCTCTCGCTGGGTCCCTCCCACAGAAGCACATCAAGGAGCACCATGAGGAGGTCCGAGAGAGGCCCTGTCCCCACCCTGGCTGCAACAAGGTGTTCATGATCGACCGATACCTGCAGCGCCATGTGAAGCTCATCCACACAGGTGCCTGCGCGGCCACACTGGGAGGGCAGATCCAGGCACAAAGCCAGAGGCCCATACCCTCTTTCCATTCCTACAGCCTCCCTACCTCCACCCCTGAGGCTGCCTTGTACCAAGACCCAGATAGCTGATGGTGGGCACACTTCCTGGAGACCTGAGGCTATGTCTTGGTATCCCGTGGCCTCAGTTGCTCCTAGGTCCTGTAGGTAGATGAAAGTAGTGGCCATGTGTCATGTGAATCTACCCCCCACCTTGTAAATCACAGAATCCCCCATTTCTTCAGCATCTAGACAGTTCATCAACACCGTTGGCTAAGAAATCCTGGTGCCCTTTTGCAAGTTTACTTTTTGAATAACAATATGTTTCTTGGATTATAAAAGTAACCGTGCATTGCAGAAATTGTGAAAAATACGAAAGGCACAGATAGTAAGCACCACTCCATCACACAATAAATAGCACCATTCACACTTGGGGGCTTATTCCTGAGTTTTTCTGTGTATACATTCTAACCTTGGGTTCGTATTGTATAATCATCACAATCTTCTGATGCCACCTCAACCGCAAAGATGTGATCTGGCCAACACCACTTTAGGAAGCAGAATTACACAAGGCACCTGCTGCCTCCTGCTCCACCCTGTCCACACTCCTGACTCAATATTCCTCCCCATGGAAAAGATTTGTTGCATATGTTTGAACTGTATGGACCCACATAGATGCAAACTTGCAGGTCTGTGGGCTCCAGTGGATGCTTCGTATGGGGATGACTTCTAGAACACAACAGTAGCTGACAGTTGATACCTAGATAGCCTTATTGACTTGGCTTCTTCTAACAATCTGTGGTCAAGTAAATGGATGTCTACTTAAGTTTACCTTTAGAAACAGGCCTCAGGTGTACAAGCTGATGAAGGAAAGACCTAGGTACCTGGCAGAGCAACAGCACCACTTGAAGGCCTTATGAACCCACTGTTCTGTGTCAGGGCTGTCTTTCCACCATAAATACATTCAGGCCCTCAAAGGCCCCTGGCTTGGGCATACCTCATTGTGCCCCATGTACTGAGCAGCTTCTCTGGTTAGGATACTTGAAATGTCTTTTCCCATGAGGAGGCTCAAGTACAGCAGTGCCCTTGTTCTCCCACCGTGCTCTTTCAGAGGTGCGGAACTACATCTGTGACGAGTGTGGACAGACCTTCAAGCAGCGGAAGCACCTTCTCGTCCACCAGATGCGCCACTCAGGAGCCAAGCCTTTGCAGTGAGTGTGGGCTAGGCTTTCCGGGGCTGTGGCCTGTGCCGGTGTCTTACCTGCCTCTGTCCCCCAGGTGTGAGGTCTGCGGGTTCCAGTGCAGGCAGCGGGCATCCCTCAAGTACCACATGACCAAGCACAAGGCCGAGACTGAGCTGGACTTTGCGTGTGACCAGTGTGGGCGACGGTTCGAGAAGGCCCACAACCTCAACGTGCACATGTCCATGGTGCATCCGCTGACACAGACCCAGGACAAGGTCTTGCCCCTGGAGGCGGAGCCACCGCCTGGGCCACCAAGCCCCTCTGGGACCACAGAAGGCCAGGCTGTGAAGCCTGAACCCACTTGAGAATGGCAGGAGTCAGGCACCATCAGCAGCCTGAACTCAGGTGTCACCTGGGGCTCCTCACAGCACACCCGACAGCGCAGCTCTGCTTCTCCCTGGAAGAGCACCCGCGGGCACAGCAGTTGCATCAGGCCGGAGGGTGTTGCCCTCCCATGGTGGTGAAGGTGGGCTTGGTGTGCAGCCCATGTAGCCCTTGTTACCTGCTCTGGGACCAGCGGCTCATTTTCCTATAGACACTGAGTAACTCGGGGCCACACACAGACAATAGACAGTTGATTCCTTTTCCCCACTAAAGCAATCGAGGAGGTTTGTAATCCACTTTTTAGTGCAACAAGATCTCCATGTTATGCTTATAATAAATTATTTACAAAGGAGCCGGGCTGGTGTGCGTCACGGGTCCAGTCAGAAGAGATGGGGTTCCTGGTACAGGTCTGTAGAGGACACAGCCTGCTGCCTGCTCAGTAGGGCGGTGCTCACTTCCGGGTCACAGTCCCCACAGTCAGCCAGCAACTGTGAGAAAACACATGTGCTCAGCCTGCAGCCACTTGGACAAGCTACCTGTACCAGCCGTGCCCACAGACCTTGGATAGCAGGGTGCTGGGCTCAGCTGAGACACACTGCCAGTCCTTTGGCTTATGGCCCTGGCAGCTGTGACCTCAAAAGTCAGAACGCTGTGAATTCTCACATATCTAGGTGTTGAAAGCCAGCCCCAAGGTGAGTGTCTTGGTATTACCTCTGCCATGTTTGAGAAGCTCTTTCTTGGGCACCGAGGTATTAATTGCAGCAGAAAAAGACGAGCTTTTGTTATCAACTCTACAGGGCTGTCCTAGAGAGAAGATGGGCAGAGTCACGGGTTGGAGGGCATTCTGAAACAGGATGTGTGCCCCACACCTGCATGCTTTGCTGAATGCTCTTCAGCACTCAGGAGCCTCAGGCTGGGGAGCTCACCTGGAGATAAGCCTGGGCCCTGCCTGCCGGAGGTGACACCGCACTCGTCTCTCCGGCCACAAAGAGCTGGACCAGCTTCAAGTACATGTCAACAGCGACACGCAGAAAGGCCTCTTCCCTAGTGACTGCATCTTCATTAAAGTAGGAGAGAAGGCTAGAGGTAGAGAATGATGACAGATGGCTGAGATGCTGGAAAAGTACGAGGCGTCTGCATCGAGAACATCATCTCATCTGTGGAGCAGAGGAACAGGCCGCCCTTCCCCTCTGGCGGGGGGAACACTGCCCCTTCCCCAACCACACAAAGCCAGCCCGGGGGGCAGGTACCTGTAGAAGGCAAGTGGCAGCAGCCTGCTGTGTTGGTCTGGAGCCACACGAAGGAGGAGTCTCCCCTGCCCAGTGTCTGCAACACAAGAGGAGGCTCAGTTAGCTCTGTGGATGCCTCTGCCCGTTAGCAGTGAGAGACAGCATGTGCTGTTTGGGGATGATACCCTCTTGCTGGGGAGCACAGCCTGGAGACCAGAGGTGGGTGAACAGGCCGACCCCCCGTGACAGGCCTGTGGATACTACTGCCCCAGACTTGTGGCACCCTGGGGTCCAGTGCTCCCGGAAATTCTATTGCTTTAAACAAGTTTGTACTGAATCTGTCCCAACCAAAATGAAGTATATAAACTCAGCAAGAAGATAAACTTTAAAAGATAAGTTGTAAGTGCGCCTCCAGGGGAGCTCACCCTTCATTTGGAAGTGGCTTCTGAAGAGAGTTCTAGAGAATGACAGCTGCCATGGCATCTCAACTGATGCTGACAGGTCACAGGGAACAGGGCGGCCTTGTCCGGCCCTCAGAGGTTTCTTACCACTCTCCGTCAATTGAAAGAGTGCCAGCCAGCATATCCTCCTCTTCTCCAAACATGTGAGAATCTCAGTGCAAATGTCCAGAGCCTTCAGGGAGTCCGAGGTGCCCTGTGACCCAGAAGAAGAGCCCTGAGAATGGCCGACGTGCTGCGCCCCTGCACAGAAGGCGCTAACTCTCAATAAGCCTTTTTTTTTTTAGTTGGCGTCTCTGTCGCCCAGGCTGGAGGGAAATGGCGTGCTCATGGCCACCACAGCCTTAACCTGCTGGGTTCAGGCGATCCTTCCACCTCAGCCTTCCAAGTAGCTGGAACTACAGGTGCGCACTACCACACCCGGCTAATTTTTTTATTTATTGTAGAGATGAGGTCTCGCCAAGTTGCCCAGGCGGGTCTCGAGCCCACGGGCTCAGGCAATTCACTCACCTCAGCCTCCCAAGGCGCGGGATTACAAGCTGAGCCACCGAGCCCGGCTCAATCAGTCTTAAAACTGATGACAACCTAGAGAAGGTGTCACTGAGGCCTCTGGACAAAAGAGGCTCAGGTAAGGCTCAGATGGAAGGCCAGGACCCTCAGACTACAGGCGGCCATGCCAAGACATCAGGAGAAAGGCTCATGGCCTGGAGTGCTCACACTTCAGCAAACACAGGGACTCCTCACACAACCCAGAGACCCGACTTGGAACTGGCTGCCTGGCCCATGCTGGGAGTGGCCCCCTAACTCTTAAGGTGAGACTTACATGTGGGGTCAGATGTGTCGAGATCAGGCCCATCAAGGAAAAAAACAGAAGAAAAACCAGCAGCTGCAAATAAAATATGTGCATCTATTACATTAAAATTGCCTGTGCACCGTAATTCTAAGACCAACACACCCTATTTACTATAGCTAGAGCATAGATCCTTTAAGTGGACCTCAGAAAGAAAGGAAACACTTCCAAACGCCTTTGTTTTTTAGTTGGAGTCTCACTCTGTCACCCAGGTTGAAGGGCAGTGGCACGCTCCCAGCCACCATAGCCTCGACCTGCTGGGCTCCAGCGATCCTTCTGCCTCAGCCTTCCAAGTAGCTGGAACTACAGGCACATGCCACCATGCCCAGCTAATTTTTTAAAAATTTATTGTAGAAATGAGGTCTTGCCAAGTTGCCCAGGCTGCTCTTGAACCCGCAGACTCAGGCAATCCTCTCACCTCGGCCTCCCAAACTGCTAGGATTATAGGCATGAGCCACTGCACCCAGTTTCCAACCACTTTCTTTTTTTTTTGAGTTGGAGTCTCACTCCTTTGCCCAGGCTGGAGTGCAGTGGCACGTACACTCATGGCTACCCCAGTGTCGAACTTATGGGCTCCCGCGATCCTTCCATTTCAATCTTCCGGGTAGCCGGAACTACAGACGCATGCTACCATGCCCAGCTATTTATTAAATTTTTTACTGTAGAGACGAGGTCTCACCAAGTTGCCTGGGCTGGTCTTGAACCCACGAGCTCAGGAAATCCACTTGTCTCACCCTCCCAAAGTGCTGGGATTACAGGCTGAGCCATTGAGCTCGACCTCCAACCACTTTTAAAGAGATAGCTTACTTGAGAATTATTTCCGGATCATATTATATTTGTCTTTAAACAGCTAAAAATTACTAGAGGAAGTGATGGGAACAAGAACCGAGTTACTGGGTATCCTTGGCCATGTGGCCACCTGCAAGGCCCCCTGTCAGGAGCATGTGTGCAGAATCCTTACAGATAAAACACACAGGCTCTGTCTTGACCCAGGGCCCAGCTGGAAGCCATCAAAGTCCCTTCTGACAAAAGGACACACACAACTTGAAAACCTGCTCAGAATACTTGCAGGGTTTTGCAGTATTATTACCAAAACCCTGGCCCTGCCATCACTAGTGTCCAGGCTGGTGTGCCAGCCATGCGCTGTGTGGGACCTGTGTGCTGAGGAGGTCCCCCAGCTCTTCTGGGATGCTGGTTCTAATTCCTGCTCTCCCTTGTCCTCTGGAGTCAGGACTTCCAGACTCTCAGTTCCCCTCACGGGAGCCTTTCATGGCCCAACAAGCAGGGGGTCACCAGGTCTGCAGTCCAGCATGGTCCCAACCTGGAATGGTCCTAGCCTCCTCTTCCTGTTTCTTTCCTCACGCCTGCAGCTGCAGACACCTTCCCTTCTTCCTCATGTCCCCAGAGCCCCTCCTCTGAGCTGTCAACATGCTTAACTGGGGGTGCCCATTAGCAGTGAATCAAGGTTACAGCACCATGAAGAGAGAGAAGGCACCAGTTTGAAGATAACAGCTTTACACTGGGCTGTGGTAAGGATAAAACAAGTTAAATAAAAGCAATTAAGAAAAGAAAGTACGATGGTTTTGTATGAAAACCTATAAACTTGGTGGCAGTTTTACTTCCAAATGTGATAGGAACTATCACTGGAAAAGCAGCATGTCAGGCAAACCCTGTGACACATACCCTCAGAGCCAAGCTTGCGAGAAAGAACCAGATGCTGTGTCTCACCTCTTCTCCCTCACAGTCCAGCTTCTTCAGCTGTCTGATGGCTTCTTCCCCAACTTGTTGAATCTCAAAGTGCAATGCGGCAGCCGAGAGCCAGGCTGGGGCAGGGGCCGGGGAGGCTGCATCAGGGGAGAGGAAGCTGCCAGAGAGAGCCAGGTCGTCATCGTCACAGGACCCTCATCCACGTCCGAATGCCAGTCCCGTTCCGCATGCACTATACTGCCCCCCACCCTCTGGGCTCACCTTTCCCACAGAGGGTATGGGGAGCTTCAGAGTCTGCATCCCCAGCACCCAGCTCTGCCTGAGCTCTGCACAGATGCTGGGGCCATCCCAGAAGCAGGGCCGACACAGAAAGAGGCAGAGCCTGCTCCTGTCCTCTCCTGTGCTGTTGGGCCCCAGCTGCCTAACTTTCAAAGAAGAGGCCTTGGTGCCCTCAGTGCTCCGCACTTGGCCCTGAGACTAGGTCAGCATCCCCTCCCAGGACAGAACAAAGGAGTGTCTGGCTGTGCCTGCCAATATGGTGCCTAACAGTTTACTAGGTTAAAAAATTGGTAGGATGCTGAACGTGATGGCTCATGCTTTAATCCCAGCGATTTGGGAGGCCAAGGTGGGAAGACTGCCTGAGCCCAGGAGTTCTAGACCAGTCTAAACAACATAGGGAGGCCTCATGTCTGCAAAAAAATACAAAAATTAGCTAGGCATAGTAACACATGCCTGTAGTTCCAGCTACTCGGGAGGCTGAGGCAGAAGGGTTGCCTGAGCCCAGGAGGTCAATTAAGGTTGTGGTAAGTCATGATTGTGCTAATGCACTCTAGCCTGGGCGAGAGTGAGATCCTGACTCAAAAATTATAAAAAAAAAAAAAAAAAAGGCAGGAAATTAATGAAATACAATGCAATGGTTTAAGAAACTTTAAACAAGCCAGGCATGGTGGTACGTGCCTGTAATCTCAGCTACTTGGGAGGCCAAGGCAGAGGGATCACTTGAGCCCAGGAGTTTGAGACCAGTTTGGGCAACATAACAAGACCCCATCTCCCCCGCCCCAAAAGAAACCTTTAGGTGATCCGATCTGGTCTCTGTAGAATGAGACTGAGACCTGCTTTCCTTGTTTTTTGGGATGACTATGAGCAGTCCAGCCCTGGGGGACCCTGAGGATTCAGAACCCTAGGCACAGACGTTCTAGGGAGGCCAGGTGGAGCCTAGCAATGCCCTCTGGGAGCACATTCCCCAAGCCCAGCAGGGCTCTGCAGGCTTCAGGCTCGTGGTCCTCAGGAGGGTGGGTAAACTCAGATCATGGCTCCAAGCCCTGAGTATCTGCTGGGTCCACAGGACAGGGTGGCTGAGGATCTGCCCTAGCACATCCCCAAGGCCCCTTTGGGACATCAGATGCAGGAGGGGGGTGGGGGCTGGGACACGCTGAGCAAGATGAGCCCAGCGCACCCAGCCGCCTACACCATTCTCGAGCGCCTCTTCCACCTTCCCACCCAGGACGTCCATGTAGACAGCCAGACCAGGTCCCACAGCACAGTCAGTATCCACACCCTCCTCACATACTTGCTGGCAAACTGCTGGCCTTCCCGCAGCCTCTGCAGCCCCTGGGGCAGTGGGCACTGGCAGTGCCTCCTCCACTGACAGATCAGCACGGGCTCCAGGCGTGGCCACCACAACTCATGGGGAGAGAGTACCAGCAGACAGGTGAGGACGGCTGTCCCGTGGTCATGGGGACCCAGAGCTCCAGAGCACCCCAGGCTGCCGCAGGGCCCACAACCATCCACCCCTTTGTAGCTTCAAAACCAGTATCTTATTGACCTCGTTTAAGGCTCAGGGCGGTTCCATGAGCACCACATGAACCTCATGGATGAAAGACAGGATTTGGAGGAGGAAGGGGCTTGTTAATAAAAGTCGCCATGAGTACAGGGGCCACAGGGTCCCAGAGCTGGGCTGATCTTGTCCTTGATGCCTGCTAAGAGCTGGTGTTTTCAACACTGAATGGCTCATGTACAGTGAGTTCTGCCACCTGGGCTACAGACAACACGAGGGCCAGACCTCTGGGGCACTTGGAGAAAGGTGCTGCTTGGAAGGAAACGGCCCTGAAGTCCCAAGGCAGGGGCTGGTCCGTATTCTACTGATGACACCGATGAGGAGGGAGTCATGTTCCCAGGACTGAGCCAGCTGGGAAGCTGGCCACCTCCTCACATGTCCTGCGCCCTGGACTCAGAGCCTGCTACACTCTGGCAGGGAGCCCCTCTGTGCCCAAGTCCTGTCCTGAGACAGCATCATCAAACAACAGGCAGGGAGCAACTAGACCTCAGTGAAGGCACAACCAAGACAGTGAGCAAATGTGGCTCCCCAAACACCCAGGAGGAGTCTCCCTCATCCCATCACCCCAGGAGACAGAGGAGTCTCCCTCATCCCCAAACACCCCAGGAAACAGCCGGCCTACCAGAGCCGAGATCAGAATTAAGGGGCATTTTGTCTGGCACTCAGTCAACATGAGATTGGCCGTGATGGAGGGGTCCCTGCTGCGTAGACAGGCGTTCAGGAGGCCCTGCAGAAGAGAACACACCAGACGCTCCATTGTCTGCCACCTGCATGACCCCAACAGGAGGAGCCACCCAGGAGTTCTGAGATGGCCGTGGGAAGTGGTGGGGAAGGGGGTTACCTTGAAGAAGTGGGCAGTGATGTCATGGGTCAGGGCACCTCTGTGGCAACAGAAGTTTCTCTGCAAAAGAGTTCAACAATGAGGTGAAAAAGGGACCCCTGGAAAAGGAGCCCAACCGACGTGCAGAGCCACTGCCATGTGATTCAGTCATGGAGAAGGCCTCCAGAAGGCTCAGCAGCCGACATCAGCCCCGCTGGCTGACCTCAGCCTAGATCCACTGGTCATGCTGTCCCAGACCCTTTCCAGTTCATAGCTTCCTCCCCCACACTCTTTTTTAGAGGCAAGGTCTCACTCTCTCACCCAGACTGGGGTGCAGTGGCACAATCATATCTCATTGTAACCTCTATCTCTTAAGCTCAGACAATCCTTCTGACTCAGTCTCCTAAGTGGCTAGGATTACAGGCATGTGCTGCCACATCCAGCCAATTTTTCTTTTTTTTTGAGGGATGGGGTTTCACTGTGTTAGCCCAGGCTGGTCTTGAACTCCTGGCCTCAAGCAGTCCTCCTGCCCTGGTCTCCCAGCATCCTGGGATTACAGGTGTGAGCCACTGTGCCTGTGGCTTTTTAGGCTTTTTTTGAGTTTGAATCTTACTCTGTTGCCCAGACTGGAGTGCAGTGGCACACTCATGACCATGCCAGGTGTAACCTCTTTGAACAGGTCCCCGTGCAGATAGATCCTGTAAACCACCAGCTTTGGCCCACACTGATGTGGGCTCTGGGCGGGAGGTGGGAGGCTGAGAACCATTGCTGAGGACACACCAAGACCCAGCAGCTCCTCTGCCTTCTCTGACCTTTGCTAGAAGAGTACTGCCCATGCTTTTTCAGCTGATTGCTGTCATCTGCCATTCTAAGAGGCTTTCAGAAAAATAGCCTTTGGTAAGAATTTAAAGAAAAACGTAAATGACTTTGAAAGCTTGGCTAATCTCACTTCTTCTCCTTTCCTTATCCCACTTAAAGTGCTTCACAACTGAAATGGAACCTAAATTCAAGCTCTCATCATATGTGTGCATTTTTTTTCTTGAGTTGGAGTCTCACTCTGTCGCCCAGGCTGAAGAGCAGTGGCATGCTCATGGCCACCACAGCCTAGACCTGCTGGTGCTGGGGTCAGGTGATCCTTCTGCCTTAACCTTCCAAGTAGCTGGAACCCAGCTAATTTTTTGACTTATTGTAGAGACGAGGTCTTGCCAAGTTGCCCAGGCTTATCTCAAGCCCATGGGCTCAGGCAATCCACTCACCTCCGCCTCCCAAAGTGCTGGAATTGTAGGCGTGAGCCACTGTGCCTGGCCTGCATTTTCCAAAATAAGGTCTTGGTGGGGCACAGTGGTTCACACCTATAATTCCAGCACTCTGGGAGGACTGCTTGAGGCCAGGAGTTCGAAACCACCCTAGGCAACATAGCAATACCTTGTCTCTACCAAAAAAAAAGTTTTTGGTTTTTTTTTGAGTTGGAGTCTTATTCCGTTGCCCAGACTGGAGTGCAGTGGCACACTCATGGCCACCCCAGCATCGACCTGCTTGACTCTAGCAATCCTTCCGCCTCAGCCTTCCAAGTGGCGGGAATGATAGGTGCGCGCTACCATGCCCAGTCAATTTTTGATTTATTGCAGAGATAAAGTCTCACTAAGTTATCCGGGCTGGTCTTGAACCTGTGGGCTCAGGCAATCCACTTGTCTCAGCCTCCCAAAGTGCTGGGATTATAGGCTGAGCTATCAAGCCCGGCCTAAAAATGTTTTGTTTTGTTTTGTTTTAATTAGCTGGGTATGGTGGCACATAGTTCCAGCTACTTGGGAGGCTAACTCAAGAGGACTACTTGAGTCTTGGAGCTAGAGACTATAGTGAACTGTGAGCATGCCACTGCACTCCAAGCCTGGGCAACAGAGTGAGACCCTGAACCAAAACAAAGGAAAGAAGGCTTTGGGAGAAGCAGCTGCTCTCTGTGAGGGGCATGAACTGGCATCTCCCTGATTCTGACCCACTCAGTCCCTGAAGTCAACCCATCTGCATCAAGCGCCGCCCTTTGCTTTCACTGATTAAGGTTAGGGTGTAGCTTAGGCTGGGCAGAGTCTAAAATGAAAGGAAACAGGGCTACCTGGCAGGCAACAGAGGCTGTCAGATCACCACCTGGCTTGTGTGCATGCCGCATGTGAAAACTGAGAGAAGCGAATGGGGCAGGCCTCACACAGGATTCCAGGGGCTCAGCTCATGAAGCCTGAGGGGAACAGAGGGAATCCACGCGTCCCCTCACGCGGGGTTCCGGGTACCCATCCGACTCTCATAATCCCCACGGCCAGGCCCACATGCCCAGCACCTACCAGTTCCGAGTTGACCAGGTGGAAGAACTCCTCACAGCTGGCAGCGGCTGGCCCGGCCTGGGAGCTGCCAGCAAGCACCGACGGAGGCAGGCGGAGGAGGACCCTGGCGAGACACCAGCCCGGCGTCAGCAGTGGGCGGCACACGCTCGCTCCTTTTCAGAGTGGCGGCGCCCGTCACATCGCCAGCTCCAGGGCTACAGTCGCAGTCAGAGCCTGTCCTGTGCCCCCTGGTCCTGCGCCAGGTCTACGTCTTGGTGCATGTTCATCCTGGTACCGGATCTATCCCTGCTTGGCCTTGAAGACACTCAAATGTGCCACCGATAATAAGCAAGGAGGAGCAGGTGCCGCCTCTAACGAAGCAACTCACTGAGCGAACAGTCGCCTCAGCGACTCACAAACATGGCTGCAGCAGGTGCCCTGACAGTCTTCCTCGCTCCGACATGGGCGCCGCCCACCACAGCCCGCCTGGGGACTCTGAGTAGGAAGTTTTGGGGGTTTTTGAGTTGGAGTCTCACTGTTGCCCAGGCTGGAGTGCAGTGGCACGCCCACGGCCATAGCAGCCGCAACCCACTGGGCTCAAGTGATCTTTCCATCTCAGTCTTCTAAGTAGCTGTAATCACAGGCCTGCACCACCACACCCAGCTGAGGAGGAAGTTTTTAATCCTCAGAACCCACTCTCCACAGGACCGCCAAGGAGACAGAGTAGGCAGACACGGACAGAGACAAGTAACTTATGGGGAGCAGACCCCAGGCCATGGCGCAGGGGTGCTGCGGCCATGCCCAGGCCATTACCGTTTGTACAGGAGCAGTTCCTGCTGCCTCTGAAGGCTTGCGGCCATGTCCCACCCGCTTTTCAGAGCCTGGAGCCGGCTGCGGAAGACGCCAAAAGGGAAGCGCCCCTGAGGAGAGAGGTGGCTAAGGGGCCTCAGGGGGGTTGGCTGCTGGTCCAGATCCACAGCCATCTCCTGGAAAAGAACAAGGCAAGGAGCTCAAGCACCTCATCTCCCATGTACCTCTCCCAACCCCACAACAAGGGACCCTGAGAGACAGGTGACAAGGAACATATGGGCTAAGTATTCCTTGGAAACTTGATTAACTCATTCATTTGAGTTGGGGTCTCACTGTGTCACCCAGGCTGTGGTGCAGCGGCACGATCACAGCTCACTGTAGCCTTGAACTCATGGATTCAAGCAATCCTCTCTCTTTAGCTTCCTGAGTATCTGGGAATTCAGGCATGTGCCACCACACCCAGCTAATTTTTTTGTAGACAGTGTCTTGCTATGTTGCCCAGGTTGGAAATTGTTTTAAAATTGCAAAAATAGGCCAGACTCAGTGGCTCAGCCCGTAATTCCAGCATTTTGGGAGGCCGAAGCAAGTGGATTGCCTGAGCCCATGGGTTTGAGACCCACCTGGGCATCTTGGCAAGACCTCATCTCTACAATAAATAAAAAATTAGCTGGGCGTGGCAGCATGCGCCTGTAGTTCCGGCTACTTGGAAGGGTGAAGCAGGATTGCCGGAGCCCAGCAGGGCAAGGCTGTGGTGGCTGGGAGCGTGCTACTGCACTCCAGCCTGGGCAACAATGTGAGACTCCAACTCAAAAAAAAATTGCAAAAATAAAAGAACAGTACAAGAAACGCCCCTAGACCTCCTGGAGACTCATCTACAGCTAATGTGTACCACAGATACCATTTTCGCTCTCTGTAGGTAGGTATATGTATGAACTTTCTTCTGGACAATTTGAGGGTAGATGATGCATGTATAATCCCTGTGTTCTGTAACGTTTCCACACAGTCTTTGTTTTTTATGACATGGACATTTAAAAAAAAAATGAATGTGACTTTTTTTTTTTGAGTCAGGGTCTTACTCTGTTGCCCAGACCAGAGTGCAGTGGCATCATGGCCCACTGCAGCCTTGACCTTCTGGGCTCAGGCCATTCTCCTGCGTCAGCCTCCCAAGCAGCTGGAACTACATGTATGTGCCACCATGCCTGGCTAATTTTTTTGTTTTTGTAGAGATGAGGTCTCACTATGCCTTGGCCTCCCAAAGTCCTAGGATTACAGGTGTGAGATGCCACGCCTGGCTGAATGTGACTTTAAATGTCAAAGGATGTTCAGTCTGATTTTTGAAATGGTGAATTCCACTTCGGAGCATGCCGAGATCTTGCATTATTCTTTCAACCATTTAAAAAAAAATGTTCATGTCATAACTATTTTTGATGACAACAAATACCTCCCTTCCCAGAACAGGTCTGAATTTCAGAGTCCAGGCTGGGAGCCATGTCATCACAAACACTACAACACCCAGGTTCTTTGCAACTCAGCCCAGCATCTCAACCCCTCAGTTTTGTCCTGCATCCTGGGGTCCTGCCTGGCTGAGGCCACAAAAGACAGAGTCCAAGCACTCAGGCAGCAAATCCACCGGCAGACATGGTCGCTGCCTCACGAACATGCCACTGCATCTGAATGCTCCCCAGGCGCTCCATCAAGTCCGGTGTGCTGATTCCCCAGGAAGGGCTGGGCCAAGCCAGGCCAGGCCCCTCTCGTAAAAGCTAATAAAAGCTAATGGAGAAGCTTTTACTTCGCTTGGTGAGGCTGGACTCTTAGCCAACTGGAAGACACTTCTCTGTGCTCACCAGAAATCTGGACCGAGTCCCTCCAGGTGAGGGGGATGCGGCAGGGAACAGAGAGTCCTGCCTCCCGGGAGATGGAGAAATCATGGAGACTGGGCCCTCTGCCCAGAGTCACAGGTGTGTGGAGAAGCACACAGCAGGGAGGGAGCTGGCACAGAACATGGCCACAGCAAGGACCAGCAAACATCTGCTGATTGCAAGCAAACACACACACGTGCAGGCCATCTCCTTGTGCAGATCAGAAGCAGAGTCAGAATGTGAGTGTCCACATCCATCATGCCTATTGTGTGTGACCCTAAAGCCCCACCTGGGGAAACCCACACTGCATCTACACTCCCTCGTTCACTCCCTTTGACAACCAGTAAGGATGGACGTAGATGACAAAGTCAAGATGAAGGCCGGGGTCTTGGTCTCTTCTGTAGGATGTTTTCCTCATTTGTGAGTAAATTTTCCCGGCATGCAAAAGCACACCCTCCCTCCATGGTTTCTCTTTCATTTCCCACATTTTCTAAATTCAGGCACTTAAGAGGAGCACCAGGAAAACCAGGAAGCTATGAAACCCACTTACAACCATGTAAAATTAAACTTCCAAGGGTGCAGACGTGGTAGAATATGGGAGGCAACCTTGGTCTGTACTTTGCTCCTAAGTGACCCAAGAGTTCACTTTAAAGAGCTAATTGGGGCAGAAACATGGACTAGAAAGGCTTTCACCTGGTGTCAGAACCTGACGGAGCTGGGTGTGATGGCTCACGTATGTAATCCCAGAACTTTGGGAGGCTAAAGTGAGAGAAATGCCTGAGCCCAGAGATTCAAGACCAGCCTGGACAACTTGGCAAGACCTCATCTCCACAATAAATCAAAAAGTAACCCAGGCATCGTAGCACATGCTTGTGATTCAAGCTACTTGGAAGGCTGAGGTGGAAGGATCGCCTGAGCCCAGCAGGCCGAGGCTGCAATGGCTGTGAGCATGCCATTGCACTCCAGCCTGGGCAACAGAGACTCTTAACTTAAAAACAAAACAAAACCAAAAAACCTATGACAGCCTAATGAGCACACGAAGTGGAAGAGTCCCCTGACCACCAATCTCCACAGACTTTTCACCCACTGCCACATGGAAGACTGTGAACGTTACTTTCTCAGAGCCTGACATCCAAGTGGAGAGTCAACAGTTAAAAAGCAGACAACAGAGGAGTAACAATTTTATCACCAAAGTTGTCATTTTCTTTTTCTTTTCTTTTTTTTTGAGTTGGAGTCTCACTCAGTCGCCCAGACTGGAGAGCAGTGGCCGCTCCCGGCCACCGCAGCCTCAACCTGCTGGGCTCCGGTGATCCTTCCACCTCAGCCTTCCAAGTAGCTGGAACTACAGGCGCACGCTACCACGCCCGGCTAATTTTTTTTTATTTATTGTAGAGATGAGGTCTCACCAAGCTGCCCAGGCAGGTCTCGAACCCACGGGCTCAGGCAATTTACTCACCTCGGCCTCCCAAAGCGCAGGATTACAGGCTGAGCCACCGAGCCCGGCCGTCATTTTCTTAATTTCCTCTATTTCCAAATTTGCAGTGTCCCAAGTGTAGAGAAAGATATGGCATCACAGGTTTTGTTTCTGCATTTCTGTGATGTCCACCTGTGCAGTAAATTCACAAAACATCCTGTGGCTCTGGGTCTCAGCCACTGAGTGGATGATGCAAATTTTTGCTGCTTGGCTGGGTTAGAGACCATTATGAAAATTTATAATATATATCTTTTTTTGTTTGTTTGGTTTTTTTTTTGCATTGGAGTCTCACTCTGTCACCCAGACTGGAGTGCAGTGGCCACTCCCGGCCACCACAGCCTCGACCTGCTGGGCTCCGGTGATCCTTCTGCCTCACCCTTCCAAGTAGCTGGAACTACAGGCGTGCGCTACCACGCCCGGCTAATTTTTGATTTTATTGTAGAGATGAGGTCTCACCAAGTTGCCCAGGCTGGTCTCGAACCCGCGGGTTTAGGCAATCCACTCACCTCAGCCTCCCAAAGTGCTGGGATTACAGGCTGAGCCACCAAGCCCGGCTTATAATATATATCTTAATAGCAAATGACTTAAATGCAGTGAACGTACCAAATTGTGGTATCCTCTAACTCACCTGCAACCTGGAAATAATATCCTGATTTCCTGTGTGGCCACCGAGGACCAAATCAGAATTCTCTGAGCGGTTATAACTCCTCGAACTGAAATGAAAATATAGTGAAAGTTTCCTCAGTATTTTCTAATAGTGCTGGTATTCCCAGTTCTCCTCCTGTCTCCAGAGTAGGCAACTTCTGACAGTGTGACGTGCACATTAATCAACAACAAGAAACAACAAAATACTAGTAACCCAAATTCGGCAAACATAAAAAGCATATATACCATGATCAAGTGGGATTTATCCCATGAATGCAAGGTTGGTTTAACATCTAAAAGTCAGTTAATATATAGTTATTGATAAAATAAAAAAATTAAAACCAAACGATTATCTCAATAAGTGCAGAAGAAGCACTGACAAAACTTGTCCTTTAGTGAGTGACAAAAACACTCAATAAACAGAAGGCTTTGAGCCCATGGGTTTGAGACCAGCCTGGGCAACTTGGCGAGACATTATCTCTACAATAAATAAGAAAAAAATTAGCTGGATGTGGTGTCGCATGCCTGTAGTTCCAGTTACTTGGAAGGCTGAGGTGGAAGGATCACCTGAGCCCAGCAGGTCGAGGCTGTGGTGGCCGTGATTGTGCCACTGCACTCCAGCCTGGGCAACTCAAAAACAACAACAACAACAGCAACAACAACAACAACAGCAACAACAACAAAAAACCAGAAGGCTTAACCTGTCATAGGGTGTCTATGAAAAACTCACAGTTAACATCAAACTTGTGGGGCACAGTGGCTCATACCTATAATCCCAGCACTTTGGGCAGTGAAGGTGAGAGGACTGCCTGAGCCCAGGGGTTCAAGACCAGCCCAGGCAACTTGGTGAGACCTCATCTCTACAATAAATAAAAAAAATAGCCAGGCATGGTGGCGCTCGCCTATAGTTACAGCTACTTGGAAGGCTGAGGTGGAAAGATCACCTGAGCCCAGCAGGTAGAGGCTACAGTGATCGTGAGCATGCCACTGCACTCCAGCCTAGGTGACAGAGTAAGACTCCAACTAAAAAACAAAACAAAACAAAAAGCCATCACAGTTGATGAACAATCAAGGACATGACAGGGATGTCCTCTCTCACTACCTCTACTCAACACTGCACTGAAAGTTCTGGCCAGGGCAATTCAACAAGGCATAAAAATCATCAAGACTGGAGAGGAAAAGTCAAGCTCTCTCTCTTCACAGATGATGTAATCTGATATAAAGAAAACCTGAAGAGCCGGGCTCGGTGGCTCAGCCTGTAATCCCGCGCCTTTGGGAGGCTGAGGTGAGTGGATTGCCTGAGCCCGCGGGTTCAAGACCCACCTGGGCAGCGAGACCTCATCTCTACAA